ACGCCTATGGGATGTCCCCACTTTTCACAAAAACAAACCTGTGTGTGTGTGTGTGTCTGTGTAAGTTCACATGGTATGATCCAGGGTTGGGGGAAAGGTGAAGGGTGGTACAGTCTGGATCAAGACAGAGAGCAGGGAGTGCTGAGGGGAACATCTGCCTACCCATCTGCTCAGCCTGGCTACACACACACACACACGCGCACACACACGCGCACACACATGCACACACACACACGCAAGCACGTAAACACACACACACACACACACACACACACACTCCTGCCTAAAGCCACCATTCCATTACATAATCATAATCTCTCTCTCTCTTTCTCTTAGTAGGCCGTATTGTTTGACTTATATCATATCAAAAGATGCTGGTACAATGGTCTTTTGTAATTTTGTCTTGTCCATCAACTTGCAAAAACACTTTTTACTGTACATTAACACACTCATAAGAGCGGGCTGGAGAGTTTAAAAGCAGAAATGTGAAGCTTGAGTTTTATTTTATTTTTTTGTTAAAGCACTTACATTAATTATTCAGTAAGAATGTTTGTTATTTGAGCTGTTCAGCTGTCTAAAGCCTTCTGAGTGGGACTATGTTTCTATAGGTGGATAAACTTCTGCATATGTTCTACAGTGGTAGGAGTTTTGGGGCACTTTTTCTGACACAGCCGTCACAAAAACCCACCGACACAATACTGTCAGGAAGATTATTTTGAGGCAAATGTAATTAGTAGTTATATTTGAATATAGGTCATACATACATAAGCTGTGGAAATACTGCATTTAGGATAGAGCATCATGTTACTATAATACATGTCACAACAATACAAAGCACTTGTCACTGAAATTAAGAACAATAACTCATATTGTAACAATGTAGGTCGAAAAAGATGCTGTGTATGCCAAAAATAGTTTTTCAGAAATGTTTCTTGAGCAGCAAATCGGCATATAAGAATGATTTCTGAAGAATCATGTGACACTGAAACTGAAAATTCAGCTTTGCATAACAGGAATAATATTCAAATAGAAATAAGATATTTTAAATGATAATCATATTTCACAATATTAGTGTTTTTACTAGATTTTTAACCAAATAAATGCAGCCTTGGTGAGCAAGATAATTTTTAAAACATGAAAAACTTTAATGGTAGTACTATATATATATATATATTTAGCCTATAATAGTTTAAATAATTTGGATAATAATTTGGCTTGAATAATTTAGAGCAACTAGATCCTTTAATCAAGTCGTTCCAGTAAAGGTTTGTAAAGACAGAGGGAAAGAGGCCAGCTGGGACAGGGGAAGAGATGAGAATGTTGGACGGAGTGATTTAGGACGAGTGAAGGGATTTGGTGAGGTGAGGGAGAAGAATCTGACAGCCTAATTATCTCAGCACTGCTGCTGGCACTGCAAAAATCATTTTCTTAATCAGTATTAGTGTCGTCTTCCAGTAAACATATTCAAACATCTATAAAGTGGGGCAGTTCCAACTTTGCAAGGACAGTCTGGCGCTTCTTACTCACAGCCTGTAAGTACATTTTTTATATTTAAAGAATTTGTCACTGACCATTCAAACGCGAGTTTTGAGCAGTGTATCAGTAGCAGTGCAAATGCAGACAGGGTTTTATGTTTATGCGGCGCGATATGCAATGCAACGCGTAAAAAGACAGTATAAGTCATTATAATCAGTAATTATGTACCCACTGGATGCAACAAATGCCTCATTTGTAATGGGTTTTATTGGTGTTCTCTCATCGCGCTGGGACACGGCATCACAGTGTGGTAAGGGGCGTAACATTTCCGTCACAAGCTTGAGGTATTCGGCCAATCACAACGCACTGGATAGCTGGCCAATCAGCTTACACCTCGCTTTTCAGAACGATGAGCTTTGTAAAAATCGACAAGTTTCAGAAAGGCGGGGCATAGAGGAGAAACAATAATGTACATTATGTGGAAAATAATGTGTTTTTTGAATCTTAAACCGCATAAAAACATTGCATTACATGTTATACACAACATAATGTTCTTTTTAGCAACGTCATATGACCCCTTTAAAACAAGACACATTTATACTTGAGAAACAAAATTGCATAAAATATTAAAACTTGTTTTCTGAGAATATATTTTGAATTGAGTGTGCGTTTCTTACCCCACTGGCAAAAAAGTTTTTTCTTGATTTAAGCATAAACCTCACAAAATAATGTTAGATTTATGCTTAAAAGAAAAGTAAAAGTCAAGTCTTAACATCAAGTCTTAGTATCTTATGCGATTTTGCTTCTAACAAGCCATCTTGTTGTGAGGATGTTTACATATTTTTACCGGAAAACAAAACATTTTTTGGCAGAAATCTCACAGAAATGCACGAACAATAAATGCATTTCAAGTGTGTTTTTGTAACTCACCTGTACGTGATATGTTTATGTTGCCATTTCTGCCCTGTGAGAGCGTAACGTCTTTTTCGGACGCTAAATTTCAAGGCACCGCCGAACTGGTCTGGCACCCCACATCGTGGCTTCTTCATCCAGCTGAGAGAGAAAAAGAAGTAGATTCATTAATATTGCATTACTCCACACTAGTGACATTCAGTCCAGCCTGTCTGAGCTACACAACACAACAATTTTCATAGATTGATTAGCATTCAGGAAAAACATCACAAATTCCATGAGGTTTCCAAAATATAAAGTTTACATCATGTCAACCTCATGAAGTATAGTTATTAACTTGAGTATTTAGCAGTACTAGGACCACCATGTTTTTCAATGGCAGATGCCAAGACGAATATCTAGAGAGGCCAAATAACAGCCAATTAATCAACTAATATGATACTATGGTTACTGAATTCATAAAACTGGCCACTCTCAATCCCCTTCAATCAGAGTTCACACAGAGAAAGAGAAGCAGAGACAAGTTTGGTTTTGAAAGCAAGAAACAAATCACAAGAGAAAAATCAGCCTCACCTTATGGTGATATCACTATGCCGAAGCAAAAAAGAAAGAAAAAGATCACATAAGAGTTACGACATCACCATGATCCTAGCGGTCAGATGTTGTACGTCAGTGTTTCCCAACCTTTTGCATGCAGCCCTTATCGGACAGGCTTGAGTACCCAAGGGTTCTAAGAGTCTGTTTTTGCCATAGAAGAACCATTTTTGGTTCCCCAAAGAACCTTTCAGCGAACAGATCTTAAAAGAAACACTTTTTTTCTGTTAAGAACATTTAAAAAATCTAAAGCACTTTTCTCCACTATAAAGAATCTTTCTGGAATGGAAATATGCCATGGATGTTAAAAGTTCTTCATGGAAGTATAGATGCCAATAAAGAACCTTTATTTTTAAGAGTGGGGTTGGAAATCACTGCTGTACATCATATTCAGTATGCATAGATATACATTTATCATATTGTGTTTTAGATTTTGAGCAGTGTAAAGGCATTTCTGAAATAAAATCAGGTGATTCCTCACCCATTACCCTTATGAAATCTGAAAGGGTGGTTTATGCTGATCTAGCATGTTCAAATTTAAATTCATACATTTCGCAGATTTTTTTAACCCAAAGTGACTTTGCATTCAAGATATAAATCTTAGTCAGGTTAGATGCCATACTGAATGGCTGCGAGGGATAGATTTTACAAAATGGCACACATTGTATAGAGGTCCTAGATCACATAATTTTCACAGCTCACGACATTCAAAACTGTTTTTAATGGAGTTTTTGACTTATGAAAGATTTATCATCAACTGAACAATCGGTATGTTGTTAAACAACAGTACAATCCATTGACAAATGCACTGTACTTCTATCCCTCACAGCTTAATTTTCATTCCTGTCAAAAAAATGAAAAATGACCCTGACTACCCTGACTAAGGTCTATTAGGTCTATATTAGGTCATGGGTTCAATTCCCTTGGAACTGAACCCATGACCTTGGCATTGTTAGTGACAGAACCGGTACAGACTCCCCATGATTGGGAACTAAACATGCTAGCAACCCTCTTTGTTGGTCTTTGCAACAGGAGGGCACGTATGGGTATTTTGTTGTGCACAGTCAGTGATGTTAAAGAGTCTCTGAGAAGAACAACATCATGTTAAACTTCTGACCCAGAATCAGTCGATATTGGAGCGAGTGACCGTGTGAGAGTGTAACTGCTACTCACTCAATGGTGTTCTTATCCAGTTCACCGGTGACGTTAAGGCCGTAGAGACGCTGCATGGCAGCGATAGCAGAATGCATGGTCTGTTCTGACCGCAAGACGGACATTCTGGGGTCTGTGAGAGGGAGGTAGCCATACCTCTGCAGCCAAGCCTGAGAGAGAGAGAGAGAGGCTTTTGTTTAAACACTACACGTTACTTCTGCGGGAATATATGTTTTTAATATATTTAAGCATTTAAGTATAAGTAGATGCATTGATACATTTTCATTCTTATGCTGAGTTACATGCAAGGCTGTATGTAACTACCTCTTATATGTTTTTAATTAATGATTATAATTCATGTCTCACATTCGTATATATAAATAATGTATAAGTACCGGTAATATATATATATATATCTGTACACAAGTAAAAAATATATTTTTTTTTATTATGTATATATAATATACATGTATATATAATTGATTTGTAATTTGTAATTCATTTTTAAATATCAAAAAATTAAAATAGTCATTCTTGTTACTCGAATATGCAATTGTATATGTGCGTGTTTGTGTGTAGTTAAAAATGTATAAATAATGTAAAAATATAAATGATATTTTAATGTATATTTTATCATTAATAACTTTTTTATATATTTATATTTTATATAAATAAGATATTTTTATTTACAAATGAAAATAGTAATTGTTATTACACAACTTACTGAAATATGCAGTGATAAAGATGATTAGCAAAAAAGATAATATATATATATATATATATATAAGTCTTATAAGTCTTATAATATAAGTCTTATAACAATTTATATTCAATTTGAACACAGAAAACACTTAATAATATAAATGTATAATTTATTATAATTGAATTATAATTTTTTCTTAACATAGTTAAAATAACTCATTCTATCTTTCAATGCATATGAAATTGGGAGAAAAACTTCTAATAAGCCCAGTTTAAAAATCTACACAACCAGACATTCTCTATAGCTAAATTAACTCATCCTGACAGAGTTTTCTGTAGAACCACAGCCGCTGCTACAGTTCATGCCATTAGCAGATTAAAAAGTGGTTTTCTCATTAATGCTGGAGAGAAGCAGTAGGAAGTGCTTACACGGATCCTCTGCTGACCCATCTGCTGCCTTAAGCCAACAGCCAAATGCATCACAACTCTACAACACTCATCATAACACTGTGAGTGAGTGTGTGTGTGTGTGTGTGTGTGTGAATCATCACCTCTCTAGTTGTGCTCAGATCTCTTCTCTAGCTATAAGAACATCCCTGTCCTAATGTGCCCTTTTCTAAAGTCACTGGCTGCGTTAAAGAGAAGTCCACTACATAAACACACAGAACTCACACAAACAGAGGTCAGATCACTGCTGTACATTCAGCTCATCTTGAACTTAAAAAGGTATTGGGGTGTGAGTCTCACAAAAACTCCCCAAAACCACAAGAAAAAAAAGAAAAAATCTGAAAGTTGCAATTATTTGGGTCCAAGGACACATGACCAAAACAGACACATTTGAAAGAAAAGGTCCTGTAGATACAGTTGTTTGGAGTCAATTTTCAGCTTCTTTGATCTTGACTTTATAAACTGCTGAATTTCGATTGGCTGTTGATGGTCATTTTAGTTGCTCTGTACAATTAATAATGCTGGGATTGAAAAGTATCAAAGATTTTACATGATAAATTTCAACTTCTTCGATCGTGTTATTCCAGCCAAAGGGAACATTCTTAGAACTTTGGCTAACATTCTGGTAAGGTTCTCTAAACATTATGAACAAAGTAACGTTAATAGAATGTTCATTCAAAGTAAGCCGGTCTTTAATAATGTTCTCAAAACATTAGCACAAAAACATTCATGGAACGTTTTTCTTCTAAAACATTTTAGTTGGACATTCGTCTAACATTTTTTTAAATGTTACTAATTGTTTCATATCATTCAGAGAACATTTACAAATAATTTTATCATAATGTTTACAAAATAAGATGTAATAGAATAGAATAACGAATAAAGTTAATGTAGAATAATGTTAAAATATGTGTTTTTAAAAATAAAATGAACACGAAGCATGAATAAAAAAACGAAGCATGAACACGTTACACTGCACCCCATAAACAGAATCAAGCCTTCGAAAAAAGCTGATCGACCACTCCTTTAATGTAATGAGGATAATATTTATGCAAAGTATAATTTTCATATGCTAAATAAAATTTCTGTTTTGGGGTGAAATATGAGCTAGGTATATCTATGTGAGATTCACCATTGTTGTTTTTTTAAAGGTCCTGCAGCTGGCAAACTTAATTTGAGGACATACTAAACTAAAATGCATAACACAATTTACCCAAGTACGACATGTTCCTGGATCTACATTGTTTATTTGTCCTGGAATAACTTTCCTATAGCAAACAATCATAGGCCAAACCATGTCCCTAAGGTTAAACCTAATCCTAACCCACCCTACAATCAATGGGAATGACAGCACTAAACTTAACCATAAGCTTTAAACAAATGTTGTCCGAGGTCAACAAGAAAATTGATCCAGGAACACAGGCTACTCAAGGAGTTTAATACACAAGTATGCACGTTTATTTTAAAGTGCTGAAGATCGCTTAAGGCATAGATGTCCTTCAAAACAACACCACACAGCTGTTTTGTGTTATTTACCAGGAATGTTAAGTGTTAATCAAGCCCAAATAAAGACCAATTTCAGGTTGGTTTGTGAGGTACATGACAGAAAGCTTAATATATAACAGGTCCCATGAATATATCTCCGTTACACACTCACACATCAGAGGACTTGATTCACTTATGTTGTTTTATGTGTTATGCATCACAAGGATAATTAGTTGTGGTGTGTTAGAATGAAGAAGAATGAACACGTACATGTGATCACCCATATGAAAAAAAAGCCAAAATGTGTCTCTTTTTTTTTTTTTTTAAGCGCCAGATTGTCAAAAAAAAGCCAAAAGGGGTTCTTTTTTTTTTTTTTTTTTTTTAGATTTTGAAGAGCCTCAATGTTATTTTAGTTGTATTTCTAAACTAATATAGTATTTATTCATATTTTGAAATAGCTTTTATTTGAATATATTTTATTTTTTATAAATATATTTATTATATAAATTATATTTTTATATTTGCATAAGTTTTCATTTTAGTTTACATTTGAGTGATTTTGTTATGTGCATTTGTTATTATTTTTTATTTTTTTGTAATTTTGGTATTTCAGTTTCAAATGATTTATTTCAGGTTAGCTGCTAAGTTTTTCATCTAATATATATATATATTAGATAAATATATTATATATATTTATACCATGGTCGGTCTGAATACTCGATTCTGATTGGCTGGCAGGTATGCATTAAAACAGTTTAAATTAAACTGTTTTATTTTTTATTTTTTTTGTAATTTTGGTATTTCAGTTTCAAATGATTTATTTCAGGTTAGCTGCTAAGTTTTTCATCTAATATATATATATATTAGATAAATATATTATATATATTTATACCATGGTCGGTCTGAATACTCGATTCTGATTGGCTGGCAGGTATGCATTAAAACAGTTTAAATTAAACTGTTTTAATGCACAGGTAGTTCCAAGTCAGTTTAATCACTGATCTATATTAATGCCCTGCTTCAATTGATGCACACCCTCACACACAAACACACACACACACACACACACACAGACACACACACTTGCGTTTGTGCTTTACGGGGACTCTCCATAGGCGTAATGGTTTTTATACTGTACAAACTGTATTTTCTATCGCCCTAAACCTACCCCTTAAACTACTGGCAATTTTTGAATTTCATAAAACACCGTTTTGTATGTTTTTTAAGCCTTTTGTTTTACGGGGACACAGAAAGTGTCCTCATAAAACATGTTTACATTGTAGTACCCATGTCATTATACACATTTGTGTCCTCATAAACCATATATACCAGTACACACGCACACACACACACATAACCACATCACTCGCACATAAACACAGTGAGAGGGAGAGAGGTCGGAGATTGCAGATTGCGCTGCACGCACACAGAAACTTATTGTCGGTGCTGCCCCGCGACTTTTATTAATAAGATAGTATAGATACTAGATCGCTACATTATCTCTCTCAGCAACGAGGTAAAATCGAAGTAACTAAACAGCTTCATTGTTTTAGTTACTTCTTTACTTCTGCTTCACGTTGGGTGGTTCTTGGCTTCCACATCATGCATTAAAATAATTTAATGCACAGCTAGCCATGCATTATCCCTTTCATATCTATGTTTATGTTTATCTATATTTCAATCATGACAACTCTTGGAACATTTTAGCATGGTGATGAATATGACAATGTTAATGTATTTGGTCTTGGCGGAACAGATGTGCTACGCTGCTGCTGAATTGCTGCTGCTGTTGGTTATTGCTGTAGTTGTAGATTATTGCTGCTGCTGCAAGCAAGTACAGGAACTTGCTACTGCCAATGCATACGGCGATACGGTGCCATGAGTATTTAAGACATACTGCTGCTGCACAAATAGCATATAAAATAACCCCGTAGCAGATTTATACAGGTGGAGCTGGGGAAGGTGGAGGGTTTCAGAGGAACTCTGAAAGCGCGCTGCAGGAATCTCTAGTGAATGCTAGCCAGCCATATAAATGCAAGGCAGTAAGCTCATTGGCTGCATATGCAGCATGAACCAATCAGCTTGTGCCAAGTCGTTTAACTCTCTGAATATCATTTGTTACGTTAACACCCCGTCAGAATGCGCCATCTAGAGTTTCATGACTGAACTATATATTTATTTTATTAATTTAATTTTTTATATTTGTATAAGTTTTCAGTTTAGGTTTAGTTTACATTTTAGTATATTTTGTTCGTTTGTTTGTCTTTTGTCACGTTTGTTCTTTTTTATACTTCTATATACATTTTTATTTTGGTTTTAGTTTTAATAATTTTGGTACTTCAGCTTCAAATGATTTATTTTAGCTTAGTTTCCAAAGCAAAAGTATTTTAAGTTTAAGGTTTTCATCTATTTATTTCTTATTTTATTTAATTTTTAAATTTTTGTTATTTTTATTTTATTTTTTATTTTGTTTCAAAAACGGTTTTTAATATTTTTAGTTTTAGTTAACAATAACAACACTCGGAACAAGAAAAAG